GTGATCTCACGTTATCAAAACTGCACTTTATATAATATCTAACACTTAATGGTTTATGGTGTTACATTGCTCGCTCACTATTATGCACAGGTTTTAATAAACATTCAAAGTCTGCGTACAACATAAATGGTACACGATTTTTATTTATGTAATTTTTAAATTTTAAAATTTCATCATCATACTTTGGCAAGCTTATTTTACACTTTTTCACTTTAACGCACTCTATCGTATGTGTTTTTAACATTTTATCAGTTGTAAGGTAATGAAGACAGCGGTCGCAAATATATATTTTATGATGACGTTTTGTTAAAGAACTTCTAACCAATCTAGATAAGTCTTTAATATATACGTAGTGGTATTTTTTATTATTATCAGCACTATTATCACCATGTTGGATTTCTTTTAAATATTCTTCTCTATCTTCTTCTACCTTATCTTCGTCCATTGACATCGCGGTCCATCCAGAATCGCGGTCCTGACACTCTTCTATATCTGTAAAAATAGGCTTCTGGACATTCGTGTTGAACCATTCATGTAGGTCTGTCGTATCAAAAATGGTATCAGATTTAGTATTAAAATAGTTATTTTCAACAGTCTCTGTATTATTTTTTACGGTCAATAATTCTGCTGCTAATACTGCATTGATTTTCAATGCATTTTGCTTGTCGAGAATTTCTTACACTTTTAAAATGAATATTTTACCCGCAGAGTTAAGAAATTTTATTATATCTAAATGCCCAATATTTGCTATAGCAGCCGTTTTTATGCAACTTTTAAAAGCGCTATTAAGATCTTTCCATGTCACAAAATTATAATCATCTTGATTGTCTAATTTTTCATCGAGCCCTGACCCTTGCACTTTTAGAATTTTATAAAATGCTGCTAAGAACGTTAATAAAAGACACTCAATATTCAACAACTTATTTTCCACTCGCGATGACAATTTTACAGACAGCCTAAAGGCTAAACTAAAGTTGGAAATACTCTTAAGCTCTATTTCACTGTTATCAATAAAATTTCTCATCTCGGTCATATCATCACGATGCAGCAAGCGTTGATATTCTATTCACGCTATTTCACAGAAAATCACGTAACGCTTTACAACGTTGACGTTAGAAGAATTCTCACGGAGTTGCTCCATTATACTTACAGCTCGCATTAACGTACTGAAATAAATGACACGCTGCTTGAACTTTTCTTTTATACTGATTTGCCTCTGCTAAACCGATATAAGTGATCACTAGCGGTGACTAGCAGTTGCACATTAAGAAATGACACATTGATAGAGGGGTTAGTTAACTAATAATCGTCACAACGTTAAGATGACGAAGTACGCGGTTGATGTTCAAGGCTTTAGAATCATGCACAACGAATTTATTTTTAAAGAAGTTGCTATGATACCTCTACAAGAAAATGCTACACCGTCAGTATTTGTCTTTGAGCTCCCATATTCTTAGGCACAGCTCTTACTTGAAAACAAATGCGAAAATCGATGGCTGGAGTTTAATTACCACTGTCTTCATTGGAGCTTGGGAGAAGTTCCCTACGAGTATCTAGCTACAACATTTCGAGCCATTATTAAAGATGATGATGTTATTGACGTAAAAGATCTTTAAAAAATCGAATAGTTGCGCCGTGTGCTATTTAATAGGTACATTACTCATAGCATGATTTATACGCTTCACTAAATATTTGCATAACATAATTATTCTTATAGGTACATTTGTGATATAAGGCAATGTCCAGCTTTAAAAAAATTAGTATGGATGAAATCGAATGCATAAATCACTAATTTAATTTAGCTTATTGTGCTGTGAAAAATGCTACAGCTTTAAAAAAATACATTTTAAAAGATCAGCAACAACAAAACGATATTTTTTTTTCATTGTACACCTGATACACAATACTTATGCAATAAATTAGTTCTTTATGAATCTGCGTCAACTTTTTTCATTCACGCTTCCTCATTAGTGCGCCGATTAAAATTAATTTATCATATTGACTGACTCTATTCGTTGGCGAGGTACTGCGGTGAAAAGAAGTAAGCCAAGCAATGTTGGGATACACTTTCGGTTATGAATTGGGATACATGTTCTCTCTGGCAACTCGCATCACTCGATACACCCACTCGCGAGAAAAAAAATATGACGCTGGTTTATTACACGCCTTAACGAGAAGCGAATGGTCATCGGCCACGACTAACACATACGTGTATCCTAGCATGACTCGTTGCACCCGCTCTTGCTAAAAAAAAAATATGACACTGGTACATTATACGCCTAAATAAGAAGCGAAAAGTCATCGACCACGGCTAACACATACGGATCCATATGTGGATGAGAAATAATAGCTTCATTACTTGGCAAGGTACTGCGTCGAGTAAGCCAACGTTGGTTGCAGTTAAATGGGATACGCGATCCGCTTTTCCTAATAAAATTTTCTATCTAACAACTCAATACGCCCGCTCTTGAGAAGAACAAAAAAAAACAACGATAACGCTGAAACTCCTAAACAGTGAGCGGAAGAATAAAATTTAAAAAAACATCCGCTGATAAGAAATACACGTTTATGCTTGATCATCTTTCTCTCGCGCTGTACGTTGGACTTGTACACCTTTCGGACCCATCCTGATGACGTCGGAGCTTGATTCGCGGTCGGAAAGAAAGGGAGCCGTCAGTACTATCCAACGTCACAGCATCTGAAAGAGGCCCCTTTCCCTGACGTTACCGCCCGAGTAGTCCTCACCACCCACCACCTTTACTACCTCTCCTATACCGCCCGTGCCACTCCTCTCACCGCCAGATCAGCCTCTCCCCCTACCACCGCCTCTCCTCCACCCACAGCCCAACTATAGCTAGAGCCTCTCCCCTCACCATCACCTCAGGGGGAAGCTGGGGGGGGGGGGGTCGCCAGAACCACCATGGTTTACCTACTTTTACAATGTTTTAAAAGGTTCTCATTTTTCTTAACTTACTTCTATGATCGTTCGTTAACCGCTGCTTGCGTGCACGCAGTCGCAAGAACTTACAAAGTTGACCGCAACGATGAACTTTATCCTCCACGAGACTACTCGTGGCGATCAAAATAATTAGGCTGCTGCTTTTAACCTTGGAAGCCAAGTCAACGGTCCTATCTTTCTTGTTCCTCCTTGATACACTTTTTAGGCAAGCTTACAGTGGCCTGGTTTGCTTGAGCTTTTCTTACACTGCTTAGTCACCAAACTAAGTCTTACATCTGCTTGAAATGCACGCTTTTAACACGTAGCTTAATAACCGAACTAAGTCTTACATCCGCTCAAAAGATGCAACAGAACTCACTCTCCAACCTTTATTGTTACTTTGGAGCACTTGATAAAAGAGAAAAGGCAATTATTGGTATGTGCAAGGAGTTTTTATACTCTTGCATTTCCAGAGGACACGTCAAGTTGGGGATTCGAATGACTAATTAGAGTTTAATCCAACTACTTTCAATTTACACAAGCATAAACGTAGTGCAACAACTATACCGCAAACAATGGTAAAAGTCGCTGATCTCTTGGTTTTTGCATTTGGTACAGTTGATGTTGAAACTGTTCGCGAAATTTGCTGTGGATCATTTTCAGTAATAAATTTTGAAACTGCTGATTGTTTTCATTCTTGCGGACAGTTAGTGCAAATTGATTTTTGTAAGATGAGCGCTATATAAGATCGTTTGGAAATTGCGCGCGTAGTTAGAGTTTTGCGATGGCAGTTCTTTTTAACCGAAGTAAGTTATTTGTTACGAGATTGCAGAAGCAGCTTTACAGCTCAATGTTTAACAATCGCTGAGCATTTGCTTTTTATAAGTTTTTAACGGAGCTGTGTATTTCGAAATAATAAATATTAAGTATATGACATGGGATGTCACATCAAATTGATTAAAGTAAAGCTTATCAAACATTAATTTTCTAACAATTTTACAGTTTTTATCTTTCAACTTCTCTGCAGATCTTATGTTTTCAACTTTTATGTCTTTCCTCTCATTTCGTCAAAAATTTTTCCCACTTTTCTTGTCGTCATATATCTTCTGCTTCTTCTTTACTTCAGCTGTTGCTCTAACCTTTATCCATGGTGATTGAAAATAAACTGATGCTTGCAAAGCTCTGAATCAACTTTATATTTCTCTACACAAGTTTCTTGACATCGCCACTTATAGGATTATATTGAACTATACCGTCATGCAAAATTAAGCAGTAAGCTGACGTATTGGCCGGAAAATTAGTATCAGACTCAAATTCTAGCTTCACATCTACTGGAGCATTTTTCAATGACTCGTTTTTTTTTTGGAACAATCGAGAACGATTAAGGTTTATTAAAATTATTGCTCCAACATTCGATCTCACGGTTTGTAAAAAAGGTAGATCATTGCTACCTTATTAAAAACTGTTCAAATAACGTAACAAACGAATTATATGCATTGGGATGATCTTAATGAGTTAGTAGATTGTTTACGCTTGTTAACAGATAAAAAGTCAGCAGGAAACATAAGTCTTGACAACGAAACTTTATCAATCATCGAAGAGCTTTGTGAAGGAGGGTAAATATATTGATGTGCACAATTTTTGCTTTAGTATCAAAATGAGTGTCAATGTATCTGGTCGGAAACTGGAAGAAACTGTAGGCAGCAGCCGATATCCTCCTGGTATTGGATACAAACTTATAATAGATGGGCAATATAATTTAGATAATAAAAGACTGTGCAACGTTGGAGCACCGAAACAGCCTAAAGATATAGTAAATTATGCTTACTTTATTAAAGTACTTAGAATACCAAAAAAAGAAATGGATAGCCTCTAAATTTTTATGTTCAACTTACAAACAAAATTCCTATTTATTCAATCTGATTCAAAAAACTTCAATCGAGACAGTTAATATATGGAGCAAATTGTTGAGGTACTGCATAAGGCAGCAAGGCGTAATTATCCTCACCGAAAATTAATCATACATGGTTTAGATAAGACTTGGCAAGCAGACCTTACAGAGATGCAGCCTTACGCTTGGGAAAACAACGGATATTGGTATATGCTCACTGTAATAGATATTTTCTCTAACTATGCATGGGCTGTACCTGTGAAGAAAAAAACTGACGAAGAAGTAACGGGTGGCAATGCATTCGATATTAAAAAAAGGATGAGTACTAATAAACGTGTAAACTGACCGTGGCAAAAAATTCTATAATGTGAACTTTTGAAATATTATGCAAAAATATAAAATAAATTTATACTTAACTTAAAGCAATCTTAAAGCTTCTAAATGCAAGTGATTTAATTGCACTTTGAAAAATTTAATGTGGAAAAAATTAAGTTTGCATGGCAACTATAAATGTGTGTATTTTTGACAAACGTAAATTTGATTTTATAATAATAGAAAACATCAAACGCTTGGTTTAAAACCGAAAGATAATGTTGCTGAAAATAAAGTTTAAGTCATAAGGAAGTTTTAAAAAATATGTAAAAAAAGCAGTAAGTCAAAGCCTGGATTTAAAATCGGTGGTAAAGTACAAGTGAGCAAAACTAAAGAAGCATTTAAAAATAGGTACGAATCAAATTGGTCAACGGAAGTATTTACAATCAAGTGACTTGCAGCAACAAATCCAACAACGTATCATCGGAAAGATTATCAAAATCAATTTATTTCTGGAGGTTTCTACGAGCAAGAACTGCCGAAAATAAAGCATCCTGATCCATACCTCGTATAGAAGGTCATTAAAAGGCGACAAAAATCAAAATTTTGTCAAATGGTTGGGCCTTAACAGTACTTACAATAATTAAACAATTAAATATAAATGTGTAAAAAATTTCTAAATAATTTTATAGGTTTGACCTTCGAAGTTCAGCCCTTACTGAAGATTCGTGAAATCCGCTCGCTCAGCTCGTTCGAGGATTCTTGCTTGGGTAACAGCACTATTTATTTTTTTCTTCGATAATTAGCTCTGCATATTGAAAAAATCTGTATTAATAAGAGCCTCGTTCGTTCGTTCGTTGTCAGATGGCGAAAAAACTAGGATCAGGAAGAAAAATCCCAAGTACCTTGACTACTTCGCCGAGGACGAAACAGAGACTGAACTCGAGATGGAAGACCAATCATTTGTTTCAAATCTCAATCAACGACAGTCAAATCCACCAAGTTTGTACAAATTACAATATATTATCACGCCAAAGTGGTTCACATGATTTTTTATTAAAAAAAAAAAATAATAAATAAATCATAATAATTTGCAGACACGAGTATTGAAAACAATTCTCAGGTAAAAACCAGTCGGCCGAGTAGCTCTTCCATCCGCGACCTCAACTCCATCCGAGACCTAAGTAAAAAATTTTTATTTAAAGAAAAAATCCCCCGACCAAATCTTGAACGTCACTACAATTTACACTTGATTTCAGAAAAATTCATTTGCCTGTACTGCAAATCCTGCAAATTGTCCTACCCCTACGAGACAACCGAGCGTTTCAAGGAGCCACCCAAAGATTGTCCCAGCTGCAAAGTCAGCTTAGTGTACCAGTGCCTCGCCTGTCCCGAAAAAACCTACCGCGTGATAACTTCGGCCTACCGCCACGTGAAGCAGGAGTGCCAGGACCCGTTGTTCTTCTACTGCAGCTTTTGCTCGTATCACACGCATCGCAAGTACCGCATCGAGAGCCACATTGCGCATCACCACCAGGAGAAGGACGAGCGTACAGTGACAACCGAAACTCGTCCCGAGCAGGTCAAGATCAGTAGTAGCATCAGTGTCAGCAGCAGCGTCAAGCACTTGAAAAGCTGGAAACGCGCTAAAAAGTGCAAAAAGTGCGGAAGTAGATTCAAGACCCTTGTGAGGTATACCAAGCACGTGCTCAGGTGTAACAAAGAGCCCGAAGTCTTGTTTCTCGAGTGAACCGTCGCATTTTTACAATATGATTTTATTTTAATTTTTTTTTTTTTTATATATATAAAATAAAAGAGGNAGAGAAAATTGTAATTTAGTTATTTTTTTTTTTTTTACATCAAATATAGGAAAATATGATGTGTTCTCCGTCATAAACTATAAATAATTCTAATTTATCCACGGTGTAGCTGACAAAATTAGCTTCGCGCAAAGAAAGAAACATATCTTTGGGAAATTATGGAATTTTAAAACTATTTATTTCTGCCAAATAAAATGTGACTCAGAGTCATTGAAGTTAGTGGCAAAACTGAACATTTTTTTACCAAAATCAACAGCATCTTTTTTACATGACAACGCTCGTCATTTTCATTCGAACACATTTATCTTACTTCACTGAACATACATGACAGACAAACTTTCACATATTTCACTTTAAAAATATAAGCTTGATCTATTCGAAATACACGGTATCCAATAATTTGTTATGACACTCTTCGTTTTTTAACAGAGCTGAACTTATTCTCAAATTAAGTATTAATTTTTTTTAGTTTTGAGACCATGTAGTTTTGGTCGGAAATCAATTCCGAAAGTTTTTTCGTTAGCAGAAAATCACTGTCAGCGATTTTGTTGAGTGTTGTAAGACCTTTCTTTAACAAAATAAAGGACATGAAAGTTAGCATTTATTATTTATACATTGCATATGGTGTGTGAATACACACATATCTTTAGTATAAAAATATATTACCTTGACAGTTTAAATTTTTTTTACGAGGTGAATCACTTAAATGTGATGTCAGCTTCTGTTAATTAAGTTTAACCTTACTTGGACTTCTGCTGGAGTGTAGAATGAGCTGGCCTGGTCAAGACAACTCCTTATATAGTAACGAACCCTTTACTATAGGCTCATTTGCTTGTGTTCTGTCTATTTTTAAGAGACCTAATACAGAAGCAGTCCTTGCAAGGTCTCATATCTAAATGGCTACCCCTACTATCGATCCTTCCCTCTTATTGGATAATTCTTCTTTCACAATGCTATAATGACCCCATGGTAGAGTATCTATACAACCAGGATGCAAAAATCGTTTGTTGTCGTGTGCACTTAAATAAATTTTAGTTTCTTTGTTAATGAATAGCTGATGATGACGTGATCTAAGAATTTTTTGCTTTTAAGTGATGCTAAAACTTTTAGTCAGACACTTGATGTAATCTTAAAAGGTTATCGTAGCTCCTACAATTCAGCTTTTTAAGCCCTAAGCTGTTTTCAGTGGTTTGGTATTTTTAATTTTCATGCTATACATTTTACTTTGCAATAATAGGAATTCCAACATAATATTACCGTTGTATTCAGTTTTCATAAGACCAACAATTTTTTTGTTTTCACAAGGAATATTAAAGTCATTCTTGATAGAATAGTTCCACGTGTTAAATTCTCTGATATTCTCACGCATTATATAATAGATACTTTCATTCGTTATTTTATACATATGACTGTTAGTGTCAGCTTAAAACAGTTTGCACTGATCCCCAATTCGATTTCTCATAAAACCATAGTTAAATTGATACACAAGTGTTTTGGACGGGTCCAAGACACTTAATTCTATATATATATTGATTTTGAATAGAAATGTCAGTGCGCATTTATTGTATAGCAACAAGTAGCTTGTCAATTATGTCTCAACTATGAGAATTCGGATGTAAAGTATACGCTTGTGCCCCAAATCTTCCTGCCCACATGTTGATAAGCTTAACGTCAACTCAATTGCGCTTATCTTCTGTTGTTTTTCCATATACTGCATTATTAAATCATTTAAACATTATGTTTTTATCATCATTTTTTGCATTTTAACGTTTTTGACTGTTTAAATCTATATATATTTTTAAATCAGGAACCCTGATTTAACTTTATGGCTCTATAAATTTTAAATGTTCGAAGGCCATCACTCACAGCTTGCTTAAGTACTCGATAGTGTATGACATCGATTTTTGTCGTACAGAGTAGTCAATAATTTTTTGTGTTTGGATCCTGGAGGTGTCATGTGCTCAGCACAGAGTGGAAAATCCTTGTGTGCGTTATGGAGAGTTTCAGGGTAAGCAAGATCTACTTTAAGTATACACCTAATTAAAGCATCATTTTCTATATTCAAAATACCTGTTGAGTTAATATATTTAATCTTTTTGAAACTAGCGTAAAGTAGTGGTTGGGTCATGGCCCAACCATACAAACTATCGACATCATAATAAATGAGATACTTTTCATCTATTCCATTGCATTTGCTTTTTTCCATACATGCATTGATTGCCCTAGCATAGCAACAAAATTGACTGATGCCACCTCTTATGCCACTCTTAATAAACATACGCATGTCAATATCAGTTAAAAATTTAAGTTTTACCTTAAATGAGGTTTCATTATTAATATTATTGTTTTTTCGTAATGAATTATAATTTGAAAAATATTTTTAAGCCTTTGTATACTCCAACATAGTATTCCAAGTCAAATTAGGTGTTGTATAATAATAAGCCGCGTCTGACTCATATGCTTCGAGACATTCGTTTCAAAAATTTTTGAAAACTTCGGCAAGTAGTAGAACGTCAGTCTTCAAGTATAAGTCTGGATACTGACCTAGTGTTTGAGTGTTAAAAGTATTTCAGATACTTTTAGCATGCTCATACTCTTTATCAGTAGTATTTAAATAATATTTTAGTATTTTAATATTTATTACATTTTAATTTATGAGCTTCATATAAGCTACTATAAAAATCTTGTTTTGTTGGTGACTTTTTTTCCTCTAGTTTTTCAAACGAGAATATATAATCACACGAAAATATAGCTAAATTGTGGCACAGGGGTCCTATGCCACCCTAATGACAGCGTCTATGTGACGGAGCTATCTCATTTGTTACTAAGATATTAAATAGGGAAACCGCGAAGCAAGTACAAAATACAAAATATAAAACGCGAGAAAGGTAACACTATGATGTGGAAGCACAGGACAAATCTCTAAATTAAAGGTCAATAATTATACATCTAAAATACGAAACTACTTTACAGAAAATGAAAAGAAATTAGTTGTAAAAGCATCTACGTTAATTTACGAAGGATAGGATGGATTTGGTTGAACTAAATTAAGAAACACTTTTTATAAGCCACTGAAAAACATATAATTTGTGGCTCAAAAGAGGAAACTCTTAAGAGAAAACCCCCTAAGAAAAAGAAATGACCGATACAAAACTAAATAAAAAGAAAAATTACAACCTGGTTTGAATTGGTGTGCAGATGTGGAGGTGTAAATGTGTAAGAGTGTGAGTGTAAGTGCGTATCCACACTGTTTTCCTTCTCGTCTTAATACCACGGTTCCGTGAGTGCCGATTTTCCCCGTGGGTGCCTACAGCACGTGGTAAATGTTGACGCGGCACGCAGCTGTATTCTAGATTTAGACGAACAAAGACGAATTGATTCGAAAAAACACGTTTATACACAGGCAAGTATCGGACTGGCTGAGTACTACCAAATTTTTCTAGTGGCGCTTTTCTCTCTCCCTCAACCCCCCTTTTTTCTAAGGATGCGAGCTAATTAGCTGAGGTGTTATTCATTTCGAGTATCAGTCAGGCGTCAGGACGCGAACAATGCTGAAGATGGGCGAGGCAAGTTAAAAAGTAGGTTTTAAAGTGGGAGAGAGAATCTAGAGCAAAATAAGAAATGCACGTAACGCGCGTGTGTGTGTGTGTGTGTGTGTGTGTGTGTGTAAATTAAACAAATTTAAGCATGGTTTTATGTGTTGATGAGAACGAACGTGCTGTGAGCTTTGATTCTCCTCCGCTTATGTGGCAGTACTCGATTTTAGTCGCGTTCAACTAAACAATGCCTTCCTTTTTTTATAAATTCATTTGATTAATATCATAGTTAGCATCATTTGAGAATGCACTATTGATAATTTTTATTTCATCTAAATACGATGACAGTTTATCGAGATATGAAAGCATAAATTTAAAGGTATCTATGAATCGTAGATTAATACCAGTTTCTTCAACATATTTTGTAAACCAAATGTACTTCTCTTTTGTTTGTGGTAAAAGTTAAACTTTTCTAAAGAAGTGAATAGCGAGCTCTTTTATGTACAAATAAAAATCATGACCGCTTAAGTTGTGAAGAACTATTGGTATTATTCGTGAACCATAATAATTAATATTATACTTGCTTGGCTCGGGACTCTTAAACCTACAATGAGAAAATTATTTTTTGTTTCGTTTATAAAATAATTATAATCATTGTTACAGCAAAAAACAATATTCGTACTTTCCAGTCAAATGACAATGATGTTTTACTTTTTTATCACCTGAACTGAAGGGATGGTTACATATATGACATAAACAAGCTTGATCACTAATGACCTTCTCTGCTGTGGTCAAATAAATCATCTTAATAGGATTTTTATACATGTCTTCCAGTTTTAAAGCAAGAAGGTAAAGAATATTGACCAACCATTGAGCAGGTGTCTCATTAGATTGATATCATTTTGGCTATAACTTTTATACTCTGATTTACTATGCTTACAACTAAATTTAATAAAAATGTCCAATACGATATGCTATATGATGTGGGTACGCATGTTTATTTCTAATAGATAACAATAAGCATTTAAGGATTAATAAGCATTTATTTATATTTTCATAGGCTTTCAATTTATCTTTAGACCAAAAGTAGTGAAAGCATCAGTCTCATAAATTTGTGGCATGCTGGTGTTCAAACAACTGGTTGCTCATAAAACTTGACAAATTCTTAATCTAATAAAATGCTATCCATACGTGGTATTTGAATTTTCCTGAATATTGATTATATTATCATCCTCCTCATCATTGATATAAAAACTTTTAACAAGTAAAAGGTTAACATAATTTTCTTTTTTCTTTCCAGATAAATTTCTAGGACAAACGACAAAAGTCTTACCTTTCTTTCTTTTTAAATATGTATTAACCGACAGATTATTTTGTTTTTCAAATTTAGAATTTTTTTTAGGGATAAGAGGGAACTCAATGTTGTAGTTTTTTTTGTTTCTGTTCGGATTTTTCGTGACTCGCGTAAATCTAAAATCCACGAATGAAAAAACCCAAGGGTAAATTTTGAGTCATTTAACGTAGGCTTAATAAATTTGTCTTCACTCCAAGGATAATTTCCTGCTTAAAAATAAACTCGAAAAGAAACTATAATCATATAAGTTTTGGAACTAAATAAGTATTGACTTACTAAAGAGAAAATATACAAAAAAAAGGTAACTATTTCAAAATAACAAAATCAAAATAAAACAAACCCAAGTCTAGTACAATATGACGATTAATAGCGTCGTTCGTTTAGAGGATCAATTGTGACTTGAAAAAAAGGAGTGTGTTGAAACCTGAGACTATAACTCCAAGTAAGTCGATACTCTCACGAAACTCTAGTGGGAGGCGAACTTTTCTGCTTAACTGCTTTTGAGGACACGTCTTCGGCACTAAGGAACAACAAAATGGCAACACCAAAATTGTTGCTAATTAGACTTGAGCAGCGAAAAAAACCGCTGCGTGGGAGCGCCTTACTGCGGCAAAGATCGAAAGCTAGAGAGCCAGCTCGTGGCTGTCACCGAATGCAGGAGCAACGAAAGAAAAAAGCTAAAGGATAACGTGTCGAGGGGGCCCACGAACACGCACGTGAAAGAGTCAATTACGCTTCATGCGTGAGTGCAAGTGTCTCCACCCTCCCAGCAGTCCGTTTCTACTGCAAATCAAAAGGCCAACAGGTAGTGTGCAGAAAAGTTTGCCTAATAGATTCACACTTAAGTGAACATATCCCCTGCCTTGATGCAATGCGTTAACAAAGAATTACTATTATACGTGACAGGAAAGCTTAATATTAAGTAGAACTAATACCTATGTTATTAAGTGCGTCTTAATAGTGTGAGAATGTACTAAACAAACAAACAAAAAAAATGAAATAAGTATCATCAAAAATAGAAAGAAAACTACTCTGAGTTTGAGAAAAAAAACCAACAATAACCCAAATAATCTTCAAAAAAAAAGGGCAATTGGAAAAGTAACGAAGAATCTAACCCAACCAACCAACAAAAACGCCCAAAATCGTTGGAACTTTTTTTTGAACAATATTTCACAATTATTTTGTGCTTTCTTTGCCCACCTTTATTGATGTAGTTCTGGTTTGGCTACAAAAATTGATGAGTTCTGGCTCTGTGAGCAGTTTGATAAGCTTGACAACCGGTTGCTTAAATGTAGATGTGGCCGTTCCGATGGTAACAACTTGCACCATACCGTCAGTGCTAGAGTGTGTCTCAGTGATCAGACTAAGTCACCACTGAGTTGAAGGAGAAAGCTCATCCGAGAGGAGCACTACATCCCCTTTCTGCAAATTGGGCTGTGGGTTTAGCCATTCATTGTATCTCTGCATGTGATGGAGAACTTCCTTCCTCCAGCGTGACCAGAAAGAGTCCCAGAGGTTGCCCAGTAACTTACAATCGTCCTTGAGCCAGACTGGCTGCTGTGCCTCATCATACGGCTTCAGAGCGGATAGCATGATGAGCTTGTCAGAAAATGCACCAGAGTAAGAGCAACAGCCTCATTTCGCACAGCGGCCTTGAATTAAGACAGGCCTTAATTTTGGCTGCCAGAGTTGATAGCTCCTTGAAGGTGAAAGTGAGCTCATCGATGACTTGACGAAAGTGGTGTTTGAAGCTGTGCACCGCAGCTTCCCAGAGAGCGCTGAAATGCGGGGTGCGTGGTGGTATAAACGACCAGTACCTTGAGATGCCAACGTCGATGTCACGCTATCCATAAAGAGCCATGACTTGTTGAACAGCGCTTGAAGCTCTTTGGCAGCTCTTTTTACCGTCGTGGCGTTATCACTGTAAAGCTCCTCACAAATTTCTCGGCGAGCGCAGAGCTGAGTGTAAGCTGCAAGAAAAGGATTCGTGAAAAAATCAAAAACGATTTCAACACGTATGGTTCGTGTGACAAGGCATATAAGAATAGCGATAAAGCCTTAAGTTGATCACGTGCGTTGGCCTCTGGAAAACAGCACCAATATAGGGCCAGCATAGTCCACACTGGAAATAGTGAGAGGACGAGACGGTGTAGTTTTTTCAGCTGGTAAGGAAGCCATCTGCTGTACTTTCATCATATAAGAGCATCTTCCGTTAAATCTGGTGCATTGGACGCACCAATTGTATACTTCTGTAGCAACAGCAGATCCTCGAGTTATGCAGAGCGAGCGGTAGATGTGCAATAGCATGAGTTGTACTTTGCCATGAAGCGTCAACTTATGAATCTCTTCGACCAGTCATTTTATAAAAATGCAACTACCAGAAAGCACTATTGGGTGTTATTTATCATACGGAATCGGTGAATAATGCAACCGTCTTCCTACTCTAATTAATCTTTTCTCACAGATAAGGGGGCTGAGACGAGATATTGAACTCCGCTTTGAGAGTGGTCTGTGAGCAAGTTTCACTAAGGTTCCTCCTTATAATGTTGCCATTAGATGGCTCTGAAGCAAGAAATTTGCGATAGTGCCCATTCCTAATCCAAAGGAGCAGCACTTCTCAGACGTTTGTCAGCGGTTGTATTCATCCGACAGCAAGAAAAATAGGCCAGTATACGTATAATCTTGCTAGATTAAAAGTGCTTCTGCAACGTAGGCATGCAGTTGGAGGTTGCTGCTGGTGCTTCATCCTTTGTACTCTCTTTCAGAGCAACGAGAGCATGCGTCGCCTCATCATCTTGAACATTGGAGAGTTTAGAAGAAGGCCAGTCTGACTCTACGTCCGATAGCCAAGCGGGCCCATGCCACCGAAGTTAATGACCAGCAAGCTCAGCAACTTTTAGACTATAAATTGTACAATCTGCTGCGTTGTTGACAGATCCTATTTACCTCCACGTATCCAATGAAAGCCGCGTCGTGATCTCGCTGGTGTGATTGGCGATAAACGTTTGGCACTTGAACGGGTGACCTTTTAACCAAACCAACACAACTCGTGAATCCAATCAACAGTGAATTGTCATCGGTTTCCATAGCGATGTCTCTAAAATATGTGATGCCAGGCAAGAAGCAGCGTTGCAGCACAGAGTTTAAGCCTAGGCAGCGACTGAACCTTTGTAGAAGCAAGTTTGGTTTTCACTAAAAGCAGTACAGGGGTGCGGCCAGATGGGACCGCGTGAGCAGCAGCAGCATAAGCTTTTTAAGACGCGTGCATGAACACGTGTAGCTGCGAATCATCTACCTCTTAAGTGATAAGCGACCTTGAATGTCGTATAAGTAAAATGCCTGGAAGGTCTGCTCGGAACTGCAACCTACGAGCTTGCTGAGACTGTGGTATGGGGTCATCGCAGCTCACCACATTGATCCACACATCTTGTAGGATGATCTTTGCAACGACGATCAATGGAGCCAGCTAACCTAGAGAATCGAACAAACGTGCAATTTAAGACAAAATAGAGTGTTTTGTCACCTGGCTCGGTTGATTCATTTCTGTTGCCGAAAACGTAGAAGTCTCTTCTAGATAGAGCCATATAAGACCGAGAGTAAATATTTCTTCTTGGCTGCCCATTTTTTAAGGGCTATTCCCGCAGTTTCTAGCAGTGTGATTAGTTGCTGACGTCAATGAAGCCCTTCCTCGATCATGTCTGCTCCAACGAATAGATCGTCAACACAAAGTGTGTTATTGAATACTGTTGCTGCATCTGGATAGTCAGTAGCTTCGTTGATGGCAATCTGCTTCATCACACGAAGAGCAAGGTATGGAGCCGATGCAGTGCCATACCTAACAGTGGTGCATCTGTAGTTCTTTGTTGGTTGATTGCTACTTCCTCGCCAGAGGATTTTCTGCCAGTCAGCGTCGTCTCAATGAATTAGTACTTGCCTAAACATCTTAATGATATCAGTAGTAAAAACGATTTTAAATCGTCTCCAAGGGTTCAGAACTATTGCGATATTGGTCTGCAACTTAGGATTAGGCACGAGCATGTCATTAAGCGAGATTCCATTGTTAGATTTTTGCGACGCGTTGAAGACTACGTTGATCTTTTCAATATGGTCGGGGCTTACTACTACGTGATGAGGCATATAGAAACTGGGTCTGTTGATTTGCGATATAAGTACAGGCTTCATGTGCTGCAGTTCAATATACTCGCACATTAAGGCTCTGTAGCTCTCTGCAAGTTGAAAATTGCGTTGCAGCCGCTGCTTGAAGTAAGCCAGACAAGCTGCAGCAATATCACGTGAGCTAGCAAAATTGGGCTGCTTAGCAAAATGAAATCGAACCATTGGTTTATTAACCGGCCACTTTCGTTGCAGGAGTATGTTTTGATGAAGTAGTTTTCACATTTTTCGTCGTCAGGGTTCAACAAGGGCTTACGTGGGAGTTACTCGATCTTCCAAAATCGAGTGAGTAATTGTGGAGTTAAAGCTCTGTGTGCGTGTGAAACGCGCGAACTTCATTTGATGGGACTTGAGAGTACGAGGCTGAAATAGCTCCAGTAAGTAGCTATCCAAAAACTGACTGCTAAGCTTGTGGAGAGCCTACTACACCTTAATTGGTCCTTCCAAAATTAAAGCAGGGTAAACGCAGCTCTTAAAAAACAATCTACTTTGGCTGGATCAGTAAAGTTTAGATCTGCGAGCTCTAAGCTCTGAAGATGTTGCCAGTGACCTTGTATGAGTTCTTGATTTGGTATGGACCGCATCAGTTCGTTAAGAACTAATGCCAAAAAACTTATCACAAAAGTTTTTTATCGCCTTTAAAAATCCGTGAGCAATAGTAATACATTTTGACGATTTTTCTACACCAACGCTAACAACTCATAAGGAAGTTCTCTCTACATCGAGCTTAAGGTAGTGCACCGTGTGCTGTGAAATGAGACATTTCTTGGAACCAGAATCAATCAAAGCACGAACTATGAGAGATTTACTGGAAGAATTAGCAATAACAATACGAATAGTGGCTAGAAGAACTGTGGGCCCAACTAGAATACTATGCAAAACTACTGATTTCATTGGCAGAACTAACGGCAGCACCAGTGGCCTGCGCTGCGTTATCAATGGGCTTAAGAGTACCACGATTGTTAGACGTATTACTCTGCGAACTATCGTCAAGATAAAGCTTAGTATGATGTGTTGAATGGCACTTAAAACACCGATGATTCGAAGTGCATTTGTCTACGAAATGACTTTTCCTCAAGCAATTAAGACAAAGTTTAGCCTTTACACAAAATTATAAGCGTTCACTGGGTAAATATAATATTAACTGACTGCAACACTGAAGCCAATGAGTACCTTTGCAAAGGTCACACAAGGGACCGGACGACGAGTTCGTTGATTCGACTGTCTGTGCGATATTAGCAGCTACACGATTAGACGAACGTGAAGCCATATTTTTTTCTTGCTTGTCATGCGACTTAAAAGTATTGGTTTTAGCACGTGCTTGTTCAAGTCTCTGAATGCGCTTTTCCAAAAATTGTAACAAGGCGTCATATGTTGAAAATCCATCGATCGCACCCTGAGAAATTTCTCACACCTCTCGAGAAGCTATATTAAGTTTTCTTACAATGCTATGTACGATCCAATCGTCGTAGTGATCAACCAGGCAATTTAGATCTCGAAGCGCTCAAACAGCCAACTCTGTTTCATTAATTATTTCGTTTAAATCTTGAACACAATGAGCTTTGACCGACGGTAACTGTATCATGTTTTCCAACATGTTAAAGAGATGAATTCGCGGATTATCGTACCGCCAAATAAATTTTTCCCACGCCACTTCAAAATTTGTCTCAATAACATCAAGACCTTTAAATCGTTGCGCAGCTTGACCTTGAACTGCGTTAAGCAAATGTTTCAATTTCTTAACACGTGGAATATCGGCTTTATTTTTTATTAATGATCAAAAACGCTGCTTAAAACTTCCCCATTCTCCTTGTTGACCAGAGAAAGTGGGCAGTAATATGCTTGGGAGCGTTAAACGTGAACCGCTTAAGATAGTCTTGTATACAGAAAAATGTGCTTTTAAAATATCTTTCATCATGAAACGACTTGAAGCGAAACAAACCCAAAAATAAAATTTGAGAACGAGAACAGAGATTCAAAACAGGGCAAAAGAAGAGAGACGTATTAGGCACTCTGAATTATATTCATAAACGATACCATAAGTATGTAATTTTTAAGCTTACCGTCCCTTTTACCTCTCCCCGTAGCCACTCAGTCTAGTCCAAAACGCTGAAGACCACGTGGGCTTGTAGATGTGAGCTAAGCGGGGCAATGAAGAAGCGGCAAACAGGACGAGGGCAGCTAGCCAATGTTACGAAGATCCCCAAAAAACGGAATCGAAGATAGCTTTCGTTCTGTGCTCCTAGTTGTCTCTCTCTTTCTCACTCTCTTTAATAATAAGCTTAAAAATGTTGTACTCAATGACGTAATATCTGATGATGGTCTTGAAAAACGGCCTCTTCCAGCAAGGAATTTGTTTTTCTCGGAAACAGGACATCCAAGTGCTCTGCTACCAAATGTTTTTTTTTCTTCTGTTGGGCTTTTTTCGTTACTCGCACAAATCTAAGAGCCACGAATGAAAAAACCCAAGGATAAATTTCGAGTCATTTAATGTTGGCTTAATAAATAAATGACACTTTTTGTAAAATAAATCATTTGTCTTTCCTCCGAGAATAATTATCTGCTTAACAATAAACTTGAGAAGAAACCATACTTATATTAGTTTTGTAACTAAGTAAGTATTTATTTACCAAAGAGAAAATATACAAGAAAAAATAATCCAAGAAAAATTCCCTAAAAGAAAAAAAGTAACTATTTGAAAATATCAAAATCAAAATTAAACAAAAGCCAAGTCTAGTACGATACAACGAATAATTGCGTCGTTCGTACAGAGGATCAATTGCGACTTGAAAAAAAGAGTGTGTTAAAGCTTTAGACCATAACTCAAAGTAAATTGATACTCTTACGTTACTCCAGTGAAAGGCGAAATTTTCTGCTGAACTGTTTTTGAGGACACGTCTTCAGCGCCAAGAAACAACAAAATGGCAACACCAAAATTGTTGCTAATTAGACTTGAGCAGCGAAAAAAGAGCCGCTGCGCGGGAGCGCCGTACTGCTGCAAAGGTTAACAGCTAGAGAACCACCTCGCGGCTGTCACCAAATGCAGGAGCAACGAAAGAAAAAAGCTAAAGGATTACGCGTAGAGGGGGCCCCCAAACACGCACGTAAAAGAGTCAATTACGCTTAATGCGTGAGTGCGAGTGTCCCCACCGTCCCAGCAGTCCATTTCTACCGAAAATCAAAAGGCCAGCAGCCATTGTGCAGAAAAGTTTGCCTTATACATTTACTCTTAAGTGAACAGTTATTAAAATTCAACTTGTTTTCGTATTTTCTATTATTTGAGACACATTTGCATTTTTATATACAGGATGCAATGCTGATAAAATAGCCCATCTGAAGCATCGGTTGTCCATGTTAATAATATTTACACAAGCATTTTTTTTAAATGTAGTCTGGTGAGGCTATAAATAAGCTATCTCGCATTGGATTTAATTTGTTGATGTTGATGACTAAAGTTAATATTAAAGGTAAAAACTAACCAGAACTGGCATTTCCAAAATCATCTATACTTTGCTCAATTAGTTGCTGCACATTCTTACCAAACCAATTGTCTTAATTAGTTGTTTGATAAACGGATCGTGACTCTATGTTAAGGAATTTAATATCAGTACTTTTAATATTGTCTTAGACTGTAACGTATTTAGATGACAACTCTATGTTAAGTTCTAGTGCCTTGTGTTTGCTAAAAGATTGTTGTATTTGGGTAGAAAACTGATTCCTTGCGTCTTAAAAAAATTACTTAAATCTGAATGTTTTAAGTTAATAATCCAGACCATCAGGATTCTTCTTTCGAAAGCACTATTAACATTTTCAAGATTTACTGTTTTATTGTTGTCAGCAATTAGAATTAATAGTTAACGGTATTACTGCTGCTATAGATACCCTTGCAGCTATACCTTTACCTTGAATGTATTTTGTGTAGTTATTTTTTAATTTGCTGGTTGACGCGATTTCTATATCATTTTCCAGTTCAAACACTTTAGGTTTATATTAAGTTCAAAAACTCGATTGGAGCTCTTTTCTATGTAAGTATAGGAACTAGATCTGACATGAGCTTTAGTTATTTAAGTAGATTTCAAAATATTTATAATAAAACACATTTTAAAAATGTTTTGAAAATTTTTAAGTATTTATTTTTAACAAAGGAGTTACAATTAGTTTATAAGAAGAGTAATAATTATATTATTGATTGCTTTATCGATGCTGATTGGGCTAGTAATATAATTGATCAAAAATCAACGACAGACTATGAAATAAGAATGTACGGAATTATAATTTATTGGAAATCCAGAAAACAAAATAGTGTTACAAAATCATGAACAGCAGCTGAGTTTGTAGCTTTGTTAGAGTGTATGAGTAAATTAAAAGTTATAAAAGATTTATTGCTTGATTTAAAAATTTAAGTTTGCAATTCAGTTAAGATGTAAAAAGATTATTCAGGTGTGATAAGTATAGCTAGATTTGGCAACTTTCCGAAAAAATCGTAATACATTGAAACTCACTGTCACTTTGTAAACGATAGTTATGCGGAACATAAGATCGATGTTGTAAAAGTTGATTCTGAAGAAAATATAGCAGATTTTCTTACCAAAGCTTTCGGGAGAAATAAGTTTGAAAGATTTAGAAATGTATTGAATGTGAAGAAGTTTAAGATATTAGAATTAAGATTGTAATATAAATTTAAGGAGGCGTATTGGAATATAAGTAAATTTATATAAGATATGTAAGTAGTGACATCTGTTATGTGGCATAAGCACTGAAAGTGCAGGAAGATGTATTCGTGAGCTTTGTAGTTTGTAAGGTGATACAGTAGAAACGGATAGAACATGATCGCTGCCACGCATGAATGCTACCGTATGGTCTCACGGTGCAGTGAGACGAAGACTTGTAATCTTACTTAATTTTTTTTTTGTTATTTAATATACTTTCTTAAGTGTTTATAAGTGTGATGTTATTTTTTTACTACCTCACAGTATATTTATTTCACAACTTTATTCGTTTGGTTATGTTTATGTTATTTAAGTGTTAGAATTTATTACAGTAAAAATGTTTGTCTATTTTCTCGGCAAAGTTCTAAGCTAACATTGAGGTATAACTGTAAAACGTATGTTTATTTTTCTTATTAGTTAATTAATAGTACTATTTAATACAAAAACTAATATTATGTGAAAAACATTAAATGCTTACGGATTGTTTATCAAGTTGAGCTTGCCAGTATACGTAGAGATATACAATGAAAAAAAAAAAAGAATCCTATCTTCATCTATGTGAGGTATTAAGGTTTTAGTATTTTAAGTTCAACCCTTTGTTACTAATTTTATATTTATTGCAAGTTATAAAAATTACTAAGACTGAGAAAAATTGGTTGCTGCTTAAAATAGAAGGTGATAGGAATGCACTTTTATATCTATAGATATTTACAGCTTCAAAACTTTAATTTTTTTTTTTCGCTGGAAATAATTGTGGTTAGTAATCATCTTTGCGGAAAACGTACGTTTTTTTTTTTTTTTTTTTTTTTTTCGCTGGAAATCACAAATTGCAGCGCAGAATGCAAGTAATGAGAGGCCGATGATTTTTCTTTTTT